CACACACACACACACACACACACACACACACACACAATGATGCAGCCCTCTGCAAGTGCCGCTTTGTGTTGAAGCCATGCTGGGTGTGAGCGAGGCACAGACAAATCTGAGCTGACAGATCGCCAATTTAATCTGTTCAAAGCATCAAAAACAATCCAAAATTTGGTTTTAATCAGGACTTTTAATGCCACAGTCCACTCCCTGTATCACCCTGCACAGCAAGYAATTTAGTCACTACTCTGTGTCACTTTATTGATTTACACACACTGATGCACTGAGAGGATTATATAAGTWGAATGTTAGTGGGTCTTCTCTGCAGAGAAAGGTGTTTTGCTCTGTCAGCACAGCAGCGTAGGTGTTGATATGTGCTGCAAAAGTCCGGTTTTGTGTGGCGTCTACAGTCRTGTGTAAGCGCCGAACCCACACCCCCACAGACCCCATCCCCCACATTAACGCGCTCGTCTTTTTTCAAGCCTCAGTAATTACCAAGAAGGCTTTGCAGCAGCGAGCTATAAATCAGAGGCTTATGTTGATCAATAGAGGCGAGGGGGAAGGTAATAAAAGAAGCTGAGTGCTGAGAGCTTTCCTTCCAGTTACACTTTCCCTCCAGTTCCACTGTTAACAGCATGATTAACTTTTTTTTTTCCTTTTTCTTTTCAGGTTTCACTTCAGTTTCTGTTAGAATACAGACTAAAATCGATATTAACAAGTTAACACTCGCAGTGTTTTGTTCCTGCCGTTGTAATTACAAAAAAAAGTTAATTTGCTTCAGAATGTCCAAAGTCTTACACCCTATAAAACTTTATGGCCACCTTTAGGGCAGGTATGGGAGGTTATTTAGTACAAAAACAAGAAACAGATTTTAAAGGAACAGTGTGTAATATCCAGTGACATCTGGTGGTTGAGGTTCCTTATTGCAACCAACTGAAAAATCATTCCACAAAACCTAAACCATATTTTTAGTCCTTTATAATGAAAGTAGCTTGTTGATTTGTATGTATTGTATTTCTTCAGATGAAAACTAGCCTTCATGGCTAATTCTGGGGTGTTCTGTAATATGCACTGTCCCTTTTTAAATAAATAAACAACAACAACAACAACAAAACCCCCCACCCCTCCAAACAAGGCATCTCTACAATGGCCATCAGGTGTCATAAATCTTTAAGACTACCTAATGCAATGTCCAATAGCAGCTTTAGATATAGAATGGATAAAATAGGGATATTTCAAGTGGTAAGATTAATTTCATTATAAATATAGGAAATGTAATTCGAAAAATTGTCATTGCTACAATGACAGATGAAAATTTCCTGCACTTCAGTATTGCTATTGTAACCTACCATTGTAACCTATAACTCCACCCAAAACATGTGAAACCATAAATCATCTGTCACTTTAATACACCTGTGCAACTTATTTATCTACAACATCTTAATCTAACATGTGCAATATCACTATCATCACCTATTCTTAAATCATTTAATGATATCTGATGGGACCTTTGCATCAGTCATACTCTTTTAAGCTTCAGAGTATATCACAGTTGTTATTCCTATTTTTACACTGTTGTTATTCCTATTTACACTGTTGTTATTTACACTGTTGTTATTCCTATTTACACTGTTGTTATTCCTATTTACACTGTTGTTATTCCTATTTACACTGTTGTTATTC